TCTTCGTGAGAGGCTTAGAAATGTCCATTGGAATTTTTGCTATAAGAAAGTGTTAGGATAGCCTTAGGCCTGAGCCTAAGCAACTCCATTTTAAAAACTCCAGTTTGAAACTTGCAGTCTCACTAGGCACACCCACAGAGCCCTCCAGTATGGCCTCAAACAAGTTATTTCCCCGCACCCTGATAAAGAGAGTGAAGCCCCTGTCAGGCTGTCCTCACCTGATAAGAGGGAAAGGCATGATGATCAGGGTGGAAACCACCAGACCAGATGTTTCTGACCCCAGGGTAAATGATGTCACTGAGAAATCTGGTGGTAGCTGATAAGGATTGAAAAGGGGGGTCAACCCCCCCCCCAAAAAAAAATTTAGTATAAATAATACAGCAAATGAATAGGGATTCAGCCAGCTGAAGCAAGGATGCACTCGAGCTGGAGAGCCTGATGAGGACCTGACATCGCATCACTTGTCATTGTTTCCCCAGCCTCTGCGTGATCCTCACCACTCTCAAACTCATCTGGATCTTGGTGAGAGCCGCAACTTCTCCCTAGGACCCTCTCCTCAATGGGTCATCCATTCCACACCAGGAAAATCCTGCCTTGGTTCTGGACCTGATCACCGCCGGTCTGAGTGAGAGTGCATCTGCTGGACATAAAGCCTAAGGCTTAAGACTTTTGAACTTAGCATGCAGAGGGAATGTCTGTCACTGGCCTATCATGATTAAGTGTGTTTTGCAGTGCTTAGAATTAACCTAGAATTGTTTGCTATAAATTAATTAATCTAGAATAGTTTGCTGTGAATTGATTATGTCTCTTGCAGTGCTGAGCATTAAGGTTTGTCGTTTTCTTGATTAAGAACCTATAGAGTGAAATTGTATTGAGTAATTTGAGTGAATAAAGCATTGAAAGGGGCAGAAGCGCGTTGACATTCTTTATTTCTCCCCTCGACTGCATAAGTGGCAATTTTGCCCCCTCGAGACAGCAAGGCACAAGAAAGGGAAGCAGATGACTGGAGGGTAGGAAGAGTTCAGGTAGTGAACCCTTGTTCATTTCTTTCGTTCTGGTGTGTGTGTGTGTGTGTGTGTGTGTGTTTTATGTTATTGGAGATAGAATCTAGGGCCTTACACATGCTTGACACACATTCTACCACTGACCATCACCCTCAGTCTGAGTTCATCTTTTTAGTGTTCTCTTATGTTAATGGAAAGTCAAGAGCATAGTAAAAATATTTCCAAAGAGGGATGATACTAATAACAGATTTATAAGAAATGTACACTTGACATAATAATAGACTTAAGGAATAACATTACAATGATCTTAGTGCATGAATATAAATCATATAAACTTCAGAAAGTATTTAATACCCCAAACACTTGAAGATAACTTCCAAAAGCACCTCCAAAATACTAAGCAATAGGAATTTGTTATAATTTTAAAAACATGAATGTAAGCAACTTTACAGAAAAAGAGCTAATAAATCGTCAATTCTCTTTTTAGTGCTTGAAATTAACTTCTAATATTTGTCAATATACAAAATCAACATGTAGTTATAATGTGTTTATACACTATTTAATATTATTTTTCCTTTAAACTTTTTTTATATGTTGATTTTCATGAGTCAACCCAATATGTATACTTGTTAATTTTAATGATTAGTTCATCGTGTTGTTAGAGTGCAATTAATGTATTTACCTTGTCCTTTGTTGTTTCCTGCCTTCTACTATGTTTAGTATTTTGTTTAAATATCCTCCACACCAAGGCCACCTTTGGAGTTATTTCCTTGAACTCTATTCTGCAATGCAGATTTTCTAGGTCAAAACAATATGAATAACAATAGGTACTATTGTGTTCTTTCTATGTGTATTAGGCTCTCTAGATATTACCACTGTTATCCTAAAGATAATCCTTTGACGTATTTATTAATTTTATCCTATGTTACCTGTAGGCAGACTGAGACTAAGTTAAACAATTTACCTGTAGTGATGGAGAAAGGAAGTGCTAGAGCTAAACCTGAAACCTAGTTCCACATGACTCCAAAGACCATGCTCATTACAAAATACTGGTAGTCCTTAAACACTGTAATCTCAGGACTCCTTTACATATTTAAAAATTATTGAAGGGGGAAAAAACTAGAGAATGAAAATGAAAAGCCAAACTAAAAGATCATATTTTCTTCTAATATTTATTTTTCAGTTGTAGTTGAACACAACACTTTTATTTTATTTATTTACTTTTATGTGATGCTGAGGATCCCAGGTCCTCGCACATGCTAGGAGAGCGTTCTACTGCTGAGCCACAACCCCAGCCCCTAAAAGATCATATTTAATACTGGAAATGAACAATTGGAATTTGAAATTGAAAACACAATACCATTTATATTAACACAGAAACAATGAACTAGTTTGGTATAAATTTGACAAAATATGTACAAGGTTTATATGAGGAGCTTTGCAAAAATTTGATAAGAGATGCAAGAAGACCCAAATAAATGGAGACATACTATGGTTTAAGGATATGGCTCAGTTGGTAGAGTGCTTGCCTTGCATGTACAAGGCCCTGGGTTCAATCGAAAAAAGGAAAGATACTCCATACACATGAATAGGAAGACTTAAGTCATCAATTCCTCCCAACTTGGTCTATAACCTTAGTGCAATCCCACTCAAAACAAATTTATTTTGTAGAAATCAACAGCTGATTCTAAGTTGGTATCAAAAGGCAAAAGATGCAAAATAGCCAATATGGTGCTGAAGCACAAAGCTGAAGAACTGATACTACCTGACTTCAAAACCTACTGTAAAGCTCAAGTAATTACGACAGTGTGGTACTGGTAAAAGAATTTGACTGATCAATGGAACAGAACAGAGAACCCAGAAGTAGAGTCATACAAATATCATCAACTGATTCTTTGACAAAAGAGCAAAAGTAATACAATGGGGAAAAAACAGTCTTTTTAACAAATGTGCTAGAACTAGACATTCCCATGCAAAACAAGTGAATCTAGATGCAGACCTTAAACCCTTCACAAAAATTGACTCAAAACAGATCATAGACCTAATGTAAATGCAAAATTATAAAACTCCTAGAAGATAACAAAAGGGAAAATCTAAGTGACCTTGTGTTTGGCAATGACTTTTTAGATACAATGCCAAATGCATGATTCATGAAGGAAAAATACGTAAGCTGGACTTCATTAAAATTGAAACTGCTCTGTGAAATATAATGGTTAAGACAATGAAAAGAAAAACCACAGACTAGGAGAAAAATCTTTACAAAATACATAGCTGATAATATATTGGCATCCAAAAAATATGAAGAACTCTTAAAACTCAACCCAATAACAAAAATCAATAACTCAATTAAAAATTGACAAAAGATCTAAATAGACACCTCAGCAAATAAGAGATGGATAGATAGATAGCAAATAAGCATATGAAAATATATTCTGCATTATATGCTAGAGAATCATAATTTCAAACAACAATAATGTATCACTATACTTCTATTAGAACATATACTCTAAAACACTGATACCATCAAATACTTATGAAAATGTAAAGCAGCAAGAACTCTCACTTATTGTAAATGGAAGTGCAAAATGCTACATCTATTCTGGTAGACAATTTGACAGTGTCTTACAAAACTAAACACACTTTACCTTGCAATCCAGTAATGATGCTTTTTGGTATTTCCCCAAACACATTGAAAACTTATATCCACACAAATACCTGCCTGAGAATGTTTATAGATGCTTTATTCACAACTGCCCAAACTTGCAAACAACCAAGATGTTCTTCAATCAGTGAATGAGAAGTTTAAGGGGAGGGAGGAAAGAATACATAAATGGAGCACAGGAGATTTTTAGGGCAGTATAACTACTCTGTATAATTCTTTCATGGTGACCACATGTCATTATATATTTATCAAACCCATAAGATGGACATGACAAAGAGTGAACTCTAATGTAAACTATGAAGTTTGGTTAATAATATTGTATAAATATTGGTTCATCAAATGTAATAAGTGTACTTCAGTAATACATGTATACACATACACACACACATGAAACACTGTATGCATGAGTGTATACACGCATGTGCACATAGGGAATGATAAGAAAATTTATAGGAATTTGGTATCTTTTCCTCAATTTTTCTGTACATATAAAATTGTCAAAAAAGAAAATATTTTAGTTTTTAAAAAAGAAAATTTTATAGTCAATAACAAATTATAATTTATTATAATCATGATACATTTATGATGTTTATGAATTATAATCACTGTGGACCTTAAAGTTTTTGTTTGTGTGAGTTATATGTAACAATATTTACCATGTTAGAAATGTTTTTTGAAAATAACTAATAAAAGTCTATTGCATGGTAATACAAATAACGTTTTTGTGAACTAGAACTATATTTTCCAAAATTAAAAAATAGTGAAGAATTGCAGTGTTTGCAAATCTTTTTAACATCTGGTTTAATGAAGACAGCTAGATTTTCATATCTGTTTTTGCGTTCAGACTGTTGTATTATGTTGTTTTTGTTGAAATATGTGAAGAAAGTCTAACTTCATTTATGTAGGCATTTGGGGAAAGGGTAGCCTTTGCATATAGTTGTGGATATTTTTCTTTGCTACAATACCCAAATTCAACAAATGGGAGTTTCTTAAAGGCTAGTGCAATGTGATATCTGAACTCGCTTCATACTCTGTTCCATTAAAATTCACTGGGTTTCTTTGGACTCTGAATGGGTATTTTCACCATGGCATGCAAATGATTTGCAAATCAGGCATTAGTTGTTTGAGAAATATTTATTCATTTTATTATGCAAATTTTTCAAATGCTGGTCCATTTTTATTATACAATAAAAATTGCATCCATTAATGTCACTACTGATCTCATCAGGAAACAAAGTATTAAGCACATGATGGTGGATCACATATTTCAAAATTCTAATATTTACTTGGAAATTTGGATTAGTCATGGACAACAAATATTATAAGGTATTTACCTTGAAGTGACAGGCTTGCTCATTTCCTTTTAGAGAAAATGCGTGTCAACTATCCAAGTCCTAATAACCATAGTTGTCTGCCAGTCATTCTTTCAAGTAAAATGGAGTTTCATGAAGAAAGCAGCTGCTTCAGTTCCTAGAACAAACAATGGCCCAAGTGTTTTCCTTGAGACAAATACAAGGACTTTATACACATTTCCCATTTCATCACACAGTGCATTAAGAAGTGGACTCCAGAGTTGACATATAATAAAATTAGTAATTTTTACTTCAAGGACATGAACAAGCTAAAACTGTCATTTTTGAAATGTGTGCACAGAGTAGTGAAGAACGCAATGACTGGTATAACAGTGGGCTTGGTTCCAGGAGTTTGACCAACCATTTCTTTCATGCCATTATTGCAAATGTCAACACAGTGAACAAAGCAAATGTCTCTGTCATCTCATGAAAATGATTTTGATCTTGTAAGACCCCCTCCCCTGAAAAGGGAGACCATGAACCACACGATGAGAACCTCAACCACATTATATTAATAATGATAGCATAGATCCAATACATGCCATTTATATACTTGATTCAGGCATACCTGTAATTCCATAAGGTATATTACTGCTCATTATTAATTTGTTCAATAAATATTTTGTGTGTGCTGAGTATTGGATGAGCACAGGAAATGGATACTTCTCATAAGGAGCCTAGAAGGCACTGAGAAGATAGAACTTTTAAAGAGGACATCAGAAACTTGATAAATCTGAAATTTTTTAGATATGCGGTGTATTCTTAATCTAAAAAACACTTTAAAACAAGGTGGATACAATGAAGTAATTATAAAGGAAAGCTATCAACAAGGAGAAGTGGAAAATTAAATGAAGCAGATACATTTATGATGTTTATGAATTACAAACACTTTTAAATGAAGAAATAGATTGATGTTTTTATTGTTGGCTATTCTATGCACTAAATGGAAATCTGACAGAGAAAAATTACAAAGAGGAGTTGCTTAGACTCTGGAACTGAGCAAATAATAGAGATTTATGGTTAAGTGGAGATTTAAAGACTTCTCTTTCAAGAACAGAATTTGAATGTTTTGCTAGTTTTAAATGCTTTTATAATTATATTAAAACTATAGCAGAAAACAGATAACAATCTGATTAAAAACTGAGTGAGATAATATGCATTGCTATAATTTGCATCTTGAATGTCAACCCAAAGGGCAACTGTTAAAGGTGTGGTCTACAAGATGGCACTCTTGAGAGGTAGTAGAAGAACCTTTAAGAGGAAGGAACTAATGAGAGAACTTTAGGTTACTGGAGGAGGTATACTCTTGAAGGGGATTGTGGGATCCTGATCTCTTTCTCTTCCCTCTTTTACTTTCTTGCCATGAGGTGAGCAGTTTTACACCTGCCTTTCCATAAAGCCCAGAGCAATGGGGTCACCTGAACATGAACTGGAAACTTTAACATTGTGAGCCCAAATAAATCTTTTCTCTTTATAAGTTGATCATCTTGGGTATTTTGTTATACTAACAGAAAGCAGGCTAACAAAAAATATGGTACTAAGAAGTTGGGCTGTTGATTATAGTTATACCTAAGACAATGTGGAAGAATTAGTATATTAGAGATGTTTGGAAACATTTAGAGGAGCAGGCTGGAGAAAGTCTAGACTTCTGTTAATAGACCTCAAAAGGATAATCCTGGCAAGGGCTCAGAAGATCAGAATACTGACAGGAGGTCTGTATTGGGAATTAGATTTGAGGCTGCTCATGGTAACAATCTGGCAAAGAAGCTGTCTACTTTTTGTCCATTTCCTGAGATGTTGTATGAGATTGAGTTTAAAGGTGATGGACAAGTTCACTTGGTGGAGGAAATTTCAAAGTAGCAAAACATTCATGCAGTGGCACGGGTTTCCTTGGATGCTTTTAGCTGAATAATCAGGAGCAAAGAGGAGCAGAACAGAAAAATTTGCAGCTTGGCCAGAAACAAAATATGTATAAAGATGTGGCCAAGGAGAGTGCATTTCGAGTGCCAATAATAAAAGCCAAGTGCTTTGTGTAGGGACAATAGGAAAGATGCCTTGATGACAACTCAGAAATCAGCAAGGCTGTGGCCATCACAGATGCAGAGATACAGAAATACAAATTTGTTTCAAAGGTTGAAGACTTTCTGGGGCAAACACATTTCAGAAGAAAACCTCTGGGTTCCCTTCTGCCCATGCAGAACTACCAAGGTAATCATTCCCCAGGATTTGTTTCCTCCTGTTCAGCTGGCAAAGTATTCATGAACTTTTTTTTTTAAAGAGAGAGAGAGAGAGAAAGAGAGAGAGAGAATTTTCAATATTTATTTTTTAGTTTTCGGCAGACACACATCTTTGTTTATATGTGGTGCTAAGGATTGAACCCGGGCCGCACGCATGCCAGGCGAGCGTGCTACCGCTTGAGCCACATCCCCAGCCCCAATATTCATGAACTTTTGCAGCAGGTCCAGGTACTGCTTACTCTGGATGGAGGCCTTCGCATCTCCATGAGTGTGGTTTTGTAGGCATGTACAGTGTAAGACTTATGGAGTTATAGATGCTTCCACTAAGATTTCAAAGAAAAGCCTGGATGGAGGTCAGGCAGTATATGGCAGAGCTAAAGTCCCTACAAACAGCTCTCAGTGAGGAAGCTACAGGAGTGAAGTTGAAGTTTCAGTGGGGACCCCAAGAAGGTAGATGTTCTAGCAACATGCAACACACGCAGAGGGAAGCTGCAAGCAGCATGAAAAGCCTTCCCAAGAGAAAGGCTAGGTGGGCTGTAACCAGTAAGTCCATAGGAGTGGTTTTTCCAGTCCTTGGCAGCCTGCTTCCCCACACAGTACACCTGGATGCTAGACATGAGGATTTAGGATCTAATGTTTACCTTTTAGGTTTCAGTCTTTCTGTTGGTCTATTATTATTATTATTATTATTTGGAATAGGAATGCTTACCATTGTATCTCAGAAGTATGTAACTCATTCAATTTGATAGTTACAGGACCTCTCAGTTGAATTTGCCTTGAGTCTTTTTCTTTTCCCCCATGTGCAAATAGATGTTTATTACAGAACTTTTTTTTTAATTAAATGACTTAAAGAAACAAAAAAACACACACATAATACCATAAAGTGATAGCATGCAAATACTACAGGCTGGAGAGGTATGTTTGCTTTTAATGAAGGTACATATAATAAATTCCTATGACATTTGACTCTAAAATGAATGTATGAATTGGCCTGACATGATTATATAATTAATAATTTAAAGTAAAATGTAAACTTAAATGCAATTTAAAAACTGGTATTACGCTGCAGGAGTCAATTCGAGGTCAGTGACTGGAGAGTTATACAATAAATAAATAAATAAATAAATTGAGGTAAAAATCTTTAGGAAGAAACCCTGTGCCTATGTACATCTGAAGATCCAGGCTCGACTTCTGCTTTTGATGAATCCGATTTGGGAAAGGACGTATAACGCCCATCACACATCTGTTTCAAACCCAGCCTGTCTCTAAAATTACACATCTCTTTACAAATAAACCTCAAGTATTAACAGCTAAAAGATGCCATTGGGATAAGCTCCAAAGTCTGCTGTTTTCACAGAGACATATTTTAAGGCATCACTTTTAATCTTGGAACTTTAAGAACATCTTCTTTGCTTTAACTGGTTTTATGTCTCCATTTTCATCTTCTTCGTAATTGGCAGGATCTCTCTTCTTGGCAAACTGTTTTCAGTTGTCTCCACCAAGGTCTCACATCTTCTAGCCATTGCCTCATCTGACACATCAAGCTCTGGTACTTCATCTTCATCTTCTTTTGTTTTTAGCATTCATTTGAAACATCAGTTTCTCAACTTTGGGATTAAATCCTCTGAATGACAGTCTTACATAGAGAAGATCTTCACATAACAAGAAACTCTGTTTTCTTTCTCTTTATGCTCTGGCAAATCCAAGTACCGGGGTTCTTCACTGATGATCTTCTTTTCTTCCTCTTCTAGTTGTTTCTTGGTTTCTGAGTTCAATCCCCTTTGTATGAACTTCATGAGCAGCAGGTTCTTGGACAATTTGGTCTTGTGCTCAGCCGCTATGCTGGCCCTGCCTGCCACGAGCCTCATCTACCAGCCCCTTGCCTTGAATCTTCGAGGAAACTTCAGACTTAGACTTTCGAGCAAGACTAGAAGAGTTAAGACTTTGGGGGTTTTTGGTGATGGAATTAATGCATTTTACATCTTGCAAATGAATAAGACCTTTGGGAGTCAGGAGTGGAATGCATTAGTGTGGACTTGAACGTCCCCCATAGGCCCATGTGTTTGAAGACCTGGTCCCCATCACAGTGCTAATGGGAGCTGGTGAAAGCTTTGATGAGTGGAGCTTCTTTACTGGGAACATGCCCTTGAAGAAGACCATATGATTCTACTCTGTCTTCTTACCTTTTTTTGCTTCTTGACCCATGAGGTGAGTGAAGAATTTTGTTCTGTCATGAGCTCCTACTATCATGTGCTGCCTTGCCACAGACCCAGTGCAATGGGGCCAAACAATCATGTACTTGGACCCTCAAAACTGTGAGCCACCAGGTGCAGTGGCATATGCCTATAATTCCAGTGGATTGGGAGGCTGAGCCAGGAGGATTGGAAGTTCAAAGCCAGCCTTAACAATTTAGCAAGGCCCTAAACAGCTCAGTGAGAACTTGTCTCTAAATAAAATATAAAAAAGGGCTGGGTCCTGCAATCTGTATATGTGGGAAAAGTAAGAATTCATACCCCATTTGAATCAAATGTATGATATATTATATGTCAAGATCATTGTAATGTTTTGAGCAACTAATTAAAAAAAAGGGCTGGGGATGTGGCTCAGTGGTTAAGTGCCCCTAGGTTCAATCCCTGGTACCAAAAACAGAACAAAACTTGTGAACCAAAACAAACTTTTTCTCTTTATAAGTTGATTATCTCAGGTATTTTGTCATAGTAACAGAAAATTGCCTAATATGTAAAACACTAGGGCTTCTTTGTTTCAAAAAAGCATCATTCTCTTAGTTGATAAATAGTTATCAAACATTTATAGATAACATCAGAAATTTTAAAATCTGAGCAATTTAAAGTGTCATGGAATATTTTATGCTAGAAACATT